GCTGCGAGGCCATCGTCCAGTACAAGGAGAACCTTCAGAAGCTGTTCTCTCGCTTCTCACAGAGCCTCCCCCAGAACTGCCTGGTCATCTGGAACACCACGCTGCCCATCTCCAGCTGTGCCCGGGGCGGATTCCTCGTTCCTGAGATTGAGTTTCTCACCACCACTCTCAGACTAGATATATTGGAAGCCAACTTATATGCCAAAAAGGTTGGTTGCTGCAGTCATTTTGTCGGTGTGATTATTATTAGAAAGATTTAAGAATCGTTATGAGCCTGCAAACAAAGATGTCGTTAGTAATCACATGTGCTTGCCTCTATACACCAAAAAAGCCCCCAAAAATCAATCTTGCATCCATTTGGTTGTTTTTCGTAGTTTTATTCCTTTCTGGACTGCAGGCTATGTCACGTTCAACGAAAGTTTTCTTAATCATCTGGGTTACAAGCAGGGGCTAAATTTTACTAAAAGGATGGGAATAAGTCTGCTGATCACAACTTCAAGAGATGCAAAACTAACTGCATTGCAGAGATCAATTTTGGAGTTTTTGACCACAAAGACAAATGAACAAAAATTAGTAGGGGGGGGGGGAAGGGGGAACTTTGTTCTTTTTCCGGTATATATCGTCGGTATCGCAAGCAATCCACTGAAGTCCGTTTGGGTACTAGAGTTGAAAAACGGTGACTGAACACATTTTTTTCCGATTTCGTTCCGAACATTTTTGGGTGACCCATATTACAATTTCGTTTTGTTTCGTTCAATGCGCGAAATGAGGCAATTTTAACCTCTTAATACCTCTCATGATGCTTCTACTTCCTTCCTGTGCAAGAAAAACAACGTGGCGGCTGTTTTTGAGTTCTCTTTCGATCAATTTCCTTCAGAAAATCGGTGAGTACCTGCAACCTCACGTCCATGGATGATCCAGGTCGTGTGCAGGAGGAAGTTGATTTGTACTTCCGTTTTATCGTCTTTCTGATGCCGTAGAATTTATGTATTGCAATATTAGTATTCGAAACAGCTCTTCAGTGGCGCTATCTGCCTTACTCTTTTTAATTTTTGAGAGGAGGGGTGTACAGTCCGATGAAGAAGATGTCTCATGCATCTCATGGGTCCGCACACCTTCGACTCAGACATAAATTTTATTTTTTTGCTTTATTATTCTCGAATCATGCATCTTATTGTAGAAAGTATATAGAATCTATCTAGATCTAGATCTCTAGAATCTAGATTCTAGAGAATGCGTGATGAACTTGTATTGAATTTTTTTTTCTATTTAAAGTGTTAGACTTTAGATTCTAGAGTATTGTTTTGTAAATGGGAGAATAAATAGATCTATCTAGAATCTCTAGTCTAAAAGACTGCAATGATTGTTATGATGATGCTGCTGTTGCTGCTGCTGCTGCTGCTGATGATGATGATGGTGGTGATGATGAATGATGATGATGATGATGATGGTGGTAGTGGTGATGATGATGATGATGGTGCTGCTGCTGATGATGGTGATGGTGGTGGTGATGATGGTGATGGGGGTGGTGATGATCGTGGTGGTGATGGTGGTGGTGCTGCTGCTGCTGCCGATGATGATGATGA